CCCCAAAACCCCAAAACCCCAAAACCCCAAAACCCCTGAGGGTTAAGCCAGAGTTGAAATTGATGTGTTTTAGTGGATATAAGGAGATAAAATTTGGGCAAGTATAAATTAACTTTTTGTTTTAAAGATGAAATACTATACACAAAATTTTAGAAGCACAGCTTCTGCATTCCATGCTATTGTAGCTAAGTTGAGCGGAGTAGAGCTTGGCCATGAAAAGGCAACAGATGAGCAAGCTAAGTTGTTATTCAGTGAAGGAAATACTACGTTACTTCGGATTGATGAAGCTACATCTTTCAGAGATGAAGTATCTATTGGAAAATATCTAGCAAGAACTGGCGGGTTAAAGGATCAGTTACTAGGAACTACCATCTTTGATGAATCTAAAATCTCACAGTGGCTCTCATGGACAGACATTAACATTAGGTTCACTTCTGAAGCTCTCTTAAATCACTTAACAGGAAAAGCTACTGAAGGAACTCTTGACTTCAAAGCAGCTAATGGATCTATCAGAGCTTCTATGAAGTTCCTCAATACTCAACTCAAGGATAAGAAGACTCTTGTAGGTGAGAACATCACTATTGCTGATGTTTACCTTGCTACTCATCTCGTCAGATTATTCCAATTGCTCATTGAGGCTGGATTCAGGAAGGGTATTGCTAACGTTGTTGCTTGGTTCACAAATATTACTTCTTCTGATGCCTTCAAGGCCAACTTTGGTTCTATCAAACTTGCTGCTAGACCAATGAAGCCATTTGTCAAGGCAGTTTCAAAGGACCAAAAAGACAAAGGTGGCAAAAAGGGAAACAAGAATGACAAGAAAGGTGGAAAAGGAGACAAGAAGCAGAACGAAGGTGGAAATAAAGGCCAAGGTAAAGACTTCGAAGAAGAAAAGATTACCGGAATCCCTGATGATGCTGAATTTGCAGACCCAATTTATGGGAAATATAAGGGAATCTTCAAGAATGCTACATGGGGAAAAGTTGTCACTAGATTCCCACCAGAGCCAAGTGGTTTCTTGCACATTGGTCATATCAAGGCTTCTATGCTTAACTATCACTACTCTAAGATTTATAATGGAAAGATGATCTTGAGGTTCGATGATACAAATCCTTCTAAAGAAAAAATAGAATTTGTAGAGAACATCAAGAAAGATCTTAAGACTGTTGGAATCACTCCATGGAAGACCACTTACACTAGTGATTATTTTGATCAACTCCAAGATAAAATGAGAAAATTCATTGAGATGGGCATGGCTTATGCTGACGATACCCCTGGAGACCAAATGAAGGAAGAAAGAGATGCTGGAATTGAGTCTAAGAATAAAGGAAAAACTCCAAAGGAGACTATAGAAATCTTCGAGAAAATGCTTGAAGGAAAAGCTGAAGGATGGTGCATCAGAGCTAACCTCAACATGCAAGACAAGTCTAAATGTCTAAGAGACCCAGTCATGTACAGATGCAACACTACTCCTCATCACAAGACCAAGACAAAGTATAAGGCTTATCCAACTTATGATTTTGCTTGTCCAATTGTTGACGCTCTTGAAGGAGTTACCAATTGTCTTAGAACAATCGAATACAGAGAAAGAGATCCTCTCTACCACTTGATCCAAGAGAAACTTGGATTCAAACAAATTGAAATCTTTGAGTATGCCAAGCTCCAGCTCAAGTCTACTCTTATGAGTAAGAGAAAACTTCAATGGTTCGTCGATGAAGGAAAGGTTGAAGGGTGGTATGATCCTAGATTCCCTACAGTTCAAGGTCTCATGAGGAGAGGACTCACAGTCCAGACTCTTAAAGAGTTCATGCTTGATATCGGAGCTAGTATAAAAACAACCAGAATGGAATGGGATAAACTCTGGGCTTTTAATAAGCAAATTATTGACAAAGACTGTAAGAGATATTTCACTGTCCTTACCGATTCTTCTGTTGAAGTTTCCATTTTAAATGGGCCAGAAACTCCAGAAGGAAAGACTGTGAAATACCATTTCAATAACCCAGATCTTGGAGAAAAGACCAGAATCCTCACTAATTCTGTCTTTATTGAGAGAGAAGACGTAGCAGACCTCAAAGTCGGTGACAAATTTGCTCTCAAAGATTGGGGAATGGTATACATCAAAACTGTTGAAGAAGTTGATGGTAAACTCAAACTCGCTGTTGAGCTCAACTTTGATGACACTAAATTCGGAAAGAAGATCAAGAAAGCTACATTTGTTGCTAGTGATCCCCTTCTTCACGTCCCAGTCACAATTTATGAATTCGGTCATTTGATTACCAAAGACAATCTGAAGGAAGAAGACAATGTGGAAGACTTTGTAAATGAGAACTCTAAAATCAAATCAACTGGATATGCCGAAAAAGATATAGCTAACGCAAAGGAAGGTGACCTCATTCAGATTGAGAGAAGAGGATACTTCTATGTTGATAAAGACCTTGAGAGTCATAAAGAAATTGTTCTTCACTTTATCCCAGATGGAAAAACCAAGAATATGTCTGCCATTTCTTCAAAGATTGACAACAAGGTCCTCACTAAAGGAGAAGGAGACATTGCTAAAGGAGCTAACAGAGCTGAAGAGGCCAAACTCAAGGAGGGTGACGACGGAGAACCAAAGAAACTTAGTAAGAAAGAGCAGAAGAAACTAGCCAAAAAGTTAGCAAAGAAGCAAAAGAAGGCTGAACACAAAGCAGCTGAAGGAGATACTAAGGAATAATTTTGTTTGCTAATATTCAACCACTAATCTTCTATTGGGGTTTTGGGGTTTTGGGGTTTTGGGGTTTTGGGG